TGTGCTCTCCTTGGGCACATCTTGCTGTCTGTTATCCAGGCTTTATGGTAGAGAGGGACCCACATTTTCCTGTGGGGAATCTCTGGAGCCTATGCTTGGTTTGGGGCAGCTGTTCCTGCACAAAATGGCTGGTTTAGGTTTTATTCTGGCATCTCCAATGCACCTTGCACTCAGCTTGGGCGAGGTTCAGGAAGTGTGTGCTGTGTTCTTGACTGAGCATGATTATCACAGACTGGATTTTAGGCTGGACTTTGTTATTCCTTCTGTTACGCTTTACGGGAAAGAGGGTGTTGTCTGATAATGAATGAAATGAAACCCTCCTAAAACTGATGAGGAGAACTTTCACTCTCCAGCCACACTTTACCTGAGCTCCTGCAAAGAGATTGACCTCTTTGCACAGCTGCAGCCCTGAGCTGCCTGCAGGACGCTTGGTCCTGTGCACAACTGAAGTTCTCCCAGCTCCCAGACAGCAAATGAGGCTGAATCCACAAACGTGATGGAGAAAAAACTGCCCGATCAAAACAAGGCTGTTTTCAAATATGTCCAAAATGCCCTCATATCCTGCTTGTTCTTGCTGCTTGTTTCCAGTCATTCTGCTCTCCCCCTTTAGCCAGCATTTAAGCGCATTTTTTTTCTTCACTGGAAAATGTCAGTTCCATAAACCAAGATATGTCCCTTACATCAAATTCAGAAAGCAGGTTAGATGTCTCACCCTTACCAGTCAGCTTCCACCACATGGTTAAACTCCTGATCCTTCATCAAGCTTTAGTCCTGAAACCCTGCTATCCTGAGCCCTGGGTTGTGTTCTCAAGCACCTCTCACTCTTTTACTTTAGTAAGAACCACTTTCCCCCCACATACAGTCAGACTTCCAGAGTTAAGGTTCACTATAACCAATTAATCTGACCCATATACAAAAGCCATAGATTTTTTCCTCAGCAGCTGGATCAAAGTGAGTTAGAAATACAACACCTCTTAAAGACTCAAAGTAATGGCAACTGCCTTCTTCCACCTACTAATTTATTCCAATGTTTAATTATCCTTGCTGCTAGAAAATTGCTTCTTTCAAGGTTGAATTTGTCTAACTTCAACTTTGAGACATCCGAACTTGTTACGCCTTTGCCTAGAAAACTGCACACCCATGCCTTTTTCATGGATAAGTAACTATACATGGTGCTTCTATCACTTCTTGTTTAACTAAATAGATTGTTTTCTTTGAAGCCTCAAATTGTTAGATATAGTTTTGGTCACTGCAGATTTTTTGGACTCCAGTGTGTCTAAGTGTTTTTTTTTCACTTGCAGGCACCCAACATGGGTACAGTGTCATTGTGGTCTATACGCACATGCTGTGCACGTAGTAAATTTCTCAGTCATTGTTTTCCCCCTTCTCTCATAACTAAAAATGGAAGTAGACCATTTCTTGTGCTGTACAAAAAGCCTGTGGAGTTCATTACCCATGTTGAGTGCCCAAATCTCTTTCTGCATCTGTGTTTTTACTGAAAGCATCTTTATCCTGCCATTCATCAGTATGCTCTTCCCTCCTCAGAACATAGCCTTGCAGCAGGGTGTGTTAAAATATATTCTGTAACTTGTGACAATTTAAGCACGTGTCTGAGATTCTTATTCAATTTGAGAGCCGTTTGTCCGAGGCTGGTAAATTGCCAGCACAGATGCCAGAAAGAGCAGGTCTGAAGCTGACCGCTGTGTTAGTCTACCTTCTCCTTCAAAGCCTGTTTTCTTCTCCTTTTTGTGTGTCCTACTTTCAATGGATTGTTACATGTATGTGATTATGTCATTTTTCCCCCTTGCCAATTCCATTTTGTATCGTTCAGCTATGACAGCCAGTCTGAGCCAGAAGCTTTCTCCAAGTTGAGACAAATATCTTCCTCTGTTTTTGTGCATTTACCATGTTTATTCATGAGCTGCAGAGTAAATACATGGTCAGTTGTTTGTTTCTCAGGAAGGCATCCCATTTGACTTTCAGTGTTTAGCATGTTGTTGATTTGAGTAGATAGCACGTATTTATTTATTGATGATGCTGTAAAAATACTTGCTTACGTTTCTTCATACCTACACTTCTGCATAATGTATAGGCTAAGCGTCTCTCATTTGGGGGTAACTAGGTTAGCCAGCAGAATTTCGGGGAAGGATCAAGATTGGAATGTTACATTAAACACACTATTATGCATGCACATGTTCATGAAACATGAACACATCCTGATCCTAAAGAAGCCCACACGCAACCACTCCCCCAACATACACTTGCTAGCTTTTGCAGTTTCTCTCTTGGCAAACATGAATAAACAACTTTTGCTCTCCCCACCTTGTTGCCTGAGCAGCAGAAGACAGGGTGAAATGTCTGCGTACAAGGCCCACATCCAACACGGAGTGCAAGACTAAAAACATTTAGAAGGGCTGTTTAACAGCAGAAGGAGCCAGCACCTGCTTGATGAGGACCCAGCACTCTGCTTAGGGGCAGAGGTGCAAAAGTACTCCTCTGATGCAGTGCAGATTGCAGGCTGCAAACCTTAACCAGGGGAGAAATCTTTTGGTGCCATTGCCTGGCATGTGGCAACCAGGAGCTCCCCACAACAAACGAGAGGCGTAGGCAGACAGACAGGTAATGCCATGCTCCACTGCCCTGTCAGCAGCACAGCAGCCTCTAAGGCAGCAAGAGGGCTCTCAGTAACTTCCAAGCTGTTTGCATGAGAGCCCTGGGGAAAGGGAGCCACAGCACAAACGTTGTCCTGGACACATCTGTGCAGGGCTGTGCCGTCTCATTTAAGGACCTTCTTCTCAAGACCTAAGGACTTTATCCCCAGCATGCTGGTGAAATTCCACTTTGCTTGGTTTCATTCTGCCCCTAGGTTCCCTTTGTGTTTCCAAGCAGGCACAATACTCGTCTTCATTTCCTCTTCTCAACTCTTGTTAAATTTTGCCTTGCTCCAGTGAACAGAGTGCGTGTTCCAGCCAACGGGCTGCCCCATCACGGTTGTGGCTGACATGAGCGCCACGCTCGGTTTTGTGAAATGTTTCTGAGCATATCTGGATCGAAAATATACGCCCCCCCTGTCACTCCCCTTTTGCAGTTGAACAGAAATATGGGCAACAGTAGAGAGCTCACAAAGAACTGTGAAAAACTCAGCTTAGCCATTTATGTATTATGCATTAAAACCTGTCTCTATTGAGCTGTCCAAGATAAAGTCCTACTGGCATGTGATCAAAAGCGTAGGAAATTACCTTGATTTGTCCTGGCTAGAGCTGGCTGCCTCATGTAAAAGTATTTGTGAATAAATTATTTGCAGATTGATGAGGGAAAAGTGAGTAATTTATTTGATGAATATTGTTCAGCTGGCTCTTGAGCTAACCAAACCATGAGGAAAAAATATTGGTGAATGATTTATTTGAAAATCTAGTTGAAATCTGACAGGAGAAAATGGTCAAACAATCTGACACTATTATTCAAATTCTGGTAGACCTGGATAACGTTCACACGCTACTAAAGCTACACCCCAGTGCTTCAAGCCATAGCCATAAAGATGATATTGAAATCTGAATTCAAATCTTCAAATCTATACTCACCTTCTCCTTAAAAGAGATTCTCCTCAACCACAGACCCAAAGGCACCTATTAATGAGCATAGAACAGTTCTACATTTCCAGTTATTTATTCCTATTTATTATTAAAACACTCTGGAAACTCTCTTGCTTGATAGAACAGCAGTGAAAATTGAGTACCTTTTACTCCTCTACTGCCTCCCTTCAGTGGATTTCTAAGCACTTTACAAATTTCAATGGTTTTAATGTTACAGCTGTTCTGTGAAGCAGGAAGGCATAATGAAATCAGGAAAAGTAGAAAGAACACCATACATTACAGGTTTCTTTACAACATAAACTCTCAAGCTTCGTGAGCATCTTTAGACTGGATTCCTTTCAACAGAGCACATCGTTCTAAGACTGACTAGATTTTTCAAATCTGCCTGAACTTGGATCCCTAACTACCTAAGCACCCATAAACATGCTATGTGCTGAGCTCTTGTTGAAATTTGCTGGAACTTTTGAGCACTAAAGACACAAGGAAAACCCCCATGTGTCATGATATTTCCATGCATATGTACAGATTTACCAGCATATCTCTAGATAAGTGATGGTCTCACGGGTTCGAACCATAATAGCTGCAAAACAGGCAGGTTGCAAAAAGCTGCCTGTGGCTGTGGGTTGCACATCATGTCGCAGTCGCCACATGAGCAAACCACAAAATGCAAAAAGGTTATCCAACCTGTTAAGCAATAAATGACACATCCTCCTACCTCCTGCCTCCCTCTTGCACTTCCAGCAGCAGGGCTGCAGTCCCTCTGTTGCTTCTTGGTTGAAATGGTGAATGAAATATGAGGGGCTGCACTTCAAAGCGCTGGAGAGATGTTAAAGATCTGATGTTAGATGTTATGGCAGCTCCCACTACAGCAGGAATAGTAAGGATAAAATCAACACCTTATTCAAACTACTGGACATTTTCTTGAGTGCAGACAGGATTTGATCTCTAGTACCTCAGCAACCAAAGAATTAGGGAGTAGAAAATACATTCTAAAGCAGCACATGACAAAATTATCTCCCCAACAACTTACACTTTGAACACCTACAGAAGTAAATAATTAAATAACCAATCTAAAATATACAATTTTTTTAATAAGAAAGACTGAATATCAAGTTTAAAATCTGCTGTCAGCCTTAACACAAATAAACTATAAAACCAGAAATAAATATTTGTATGATTGCTGTTGATCATTAGAGGCAGTTTAAAATCCAGATTTACTCAGTGTGTTTTTTATTCTCCTTCCCACTGGCATGTCTCCTCTCTTGAACTAGGAAAAATCAAAAGGAGTCAATTTTGCTTTCAGGTTTTCTCTCTTTCTGCGATGTGACTGCAAAAAATCATAGGGGAGGATATTGCTCTGTTTTAAAGGAACAGATTTCATTAGATACAGAGAAGGAAAACAATAGAAACATTTCTCTTGGCATTTATTTGTTTTTATATGGATTCTCCTAGGCAAAATTGAAGTCACGAGAGGGGAGTCTCTGTTTATAACATGGGCAGGTACAATTCTGCAATTCTTACCCTGCTCCAGATTCACTCTCTTGATACTGACCAGTTGCACTCCATTTTGGGATCTTGCTTTTTTTCAGTAAGGTCAATCTGAACTTAGCTCTTCTTTGTGTTTTTTACCTGTGGGACTGCTGTCTTCCCACATCAGAAACAGGCTGAAATCCTTTTCTGACTTTGATTGCAATGAATAGGACATCCATGTGATGAGAATAAATCAAATTAAATCAGAAGCAGGAACAGTGCATTTCTTTGGCAGGTCCCAGAACTTCACATATTGTTGCCTTCTATTATACAAGGTGTGTAACCCAACCTTGACTTTAGGCCATTCTGAGACACAGAAATTATGGAAACAAGAGGCCAGAAGGTCTCTGCCTGTGCTAGACTGAAATGCTACACATAATGTACACTGAGCTGTCACCTACTATCCTGAGTTGATTTAAAATAATCTATAATCCAGGGATGAGAAGTGAGCACCATAGGATGTGGGAAATCCTTCTCATACAGCATGACAGTGCTGTCATTATACCAGAACCATGAAAGAAGAAACACACTGTCTCTTCAAAAAAGGACCTCTAATTTCTTGAACACTACAGTTAAAAGAATCTTTTCGAGTCCATTTACATTAACAGGAATTAATTAAGAGATTAGACTAAGACTGGTGATTAGGGCCCTGTCTGAGAATGTGGGCACACTGTTTATTAACAAGAGCCTAGAAACAGGAAGGAGGCTCCACACCCCCATCCATATAAACTAGTGCAGTCACTGCATTCCAAGGAACTGAGATCTCAGTACAAAGCATGATCCAAAAGTCAGTCTTCTGGGGATCTTCCCTCCCCTTGATGGGACTAGAGGAGATGCTATGAAGAGAGCTTTGTGTTCTCAGACAAAAAGAAAAAGATCTGGGAAAGTCGGTGAAGTCTCAATGTGTGTTTTTCAGGTTAATTTCTAACTTGCAGTGCCAAGCAAAGAGAATAGAGATGCAAAATACATGCAAAATAAAACCAATATAAAAGTTCAGTGACAACTGGCATATTGAAACCCTGTTTTTAACAGAGTTCCAAAAACCATCTCAGTGAGCTTAATGCACAAATAATAAAGGAGAGCTAAGCAACCTCTGTACTCATATATTTCCAGTCCTTTTGACATCCTAATAGCCCAGCATCTCCTGCCTATTGCAATTTGCTCTCCTTCCCTCTGTTTTGTTTTCACATCGAATGACCAGCTAACTAGCTATTGAGCCAGCAGAGACAAAAAAAAAGGTCAAAAACTGCAGATGTCTCAGTGTTTGTGCCCAGAGGACATCAGATAACAAGCTGTTACAATCTGCCTGCAAAACCACTGGTTGACTTGTTATTCTTGAGTGTCTGCGTAAGGCCTCATTGATTCTAGTTTGGCACTGTGCTGTTGACCCTGCAGCGTTTTGAGGAGATCTGCAGTACAAAAGGCTCATCAGCTCATCCAGCACATCTTCTGTGAGTCTTGGATAATGGTCAGAGAAGTTACTCAGAGAAGCTGTATCTCACCCCAGACCTTCAGCTGAGCTGGCAGCTGAGGGCTCCTGTTCTCTGCTGGGACGCTCCATATACCTGTGCCTTGGCATTCTGGAAGATGCCACTGTTAGAAGCTGCTCCTGTGTTGGCAGAACAGGGAATGTGTCTGCTGATCATGTGGTTCTTCAGGACACCCCAAAACCCCCAGAAGGCACAAGGTAAACCACAGCACAAAGTCCCCTTGCCTACTCTGTGACCGCAGGGACTGCAAGCAAGGAAACACATTCAGATTCAAATCACGATGTATGAAAGTCTCACTAATTTAGACCCAAGGGACTTCAGAAGAGGGCAAATTTTGGCTCTCTGTGAGAGCACAGTGTGTGCATATAAAGTCACTGGGAAATGTTCAATGAGGTTACACATACTGTGTCCCTCAAAATACACTTCTGTGACTGCAGAGTAGTGGCTGTTATTCATGAACTCCATGTCTTATAGCAGAATAAGAAGGGTTGATAAAACCAGCATGAATAAATCCTATTAGCATTGTTTTAAGGAGACCTCCACTCCAGCCCTTGCACAGATGAGTGAGCAAGCTTGGCAAGTCTGCATGGGGGCTCTGGCTATTTTCTTGTATCCCTGAGGGAAACAGCATTTCCCTGTTGCTGGAAGGGATGAGAGCTGGTACATTCCCTGCCACTCAGACTTCCCATGGGCTTTCAGGCCAGCTCCTCACCTACCACCATGCTGTGGAGTGGTGTTTCATGCAAGCAAGATGACTTCAGAGCAGGAGGGACTGAGGAGCAGGGAAAGAGTAGTACAAAAGGAAGTATCACTGCATTTCCAGAGCTTGTCACGGAGGATCAGTACAGCTGGGTAGCCTTGGAGACAGAAATTGAAGGTGTGTTACGGGGATTTACATGCTGGTTTTGGAAGTCCTGTTTCAATTTAAGATGATTAGCAATATCTGTGAAAGCCCTCAGGAAGATGACTCCTTTACATTTCCATAAAGGCATCAGACAAGGCATAGCCCCTTTCTTTTAGCAAGAATTTCCTAGCCAGTGGCTGGAGAAATGTGCAGCTTTTCTCCTTGCTGCAAATAGGCAGCTGCTGTGCTCACTAGATTATAACCCAGACTGCATGGGAAGATTTGATTTAAGGCAAGCCTGGCTGATGACTCTCTGCATGCAAAACTTCCAAACAAGGAGGAGGGAGCAGCTGCAATTACAGTTTTCAATTGGGAAGTGAGAAAATAGAGATAATTTCCGTTTCTACAGCAATGTGAATAATTATCCAAAAGAAAATGGTTGACTGGCAGCTAGAAGCCTTGCTTCTGCTACCTAGAGCAATGGGCAAGTAGCAGCAGCACAGACAAAATCCTTGGCCAGAGGAGTCCACTTCTAAATTTTAAATCTCCTTTCCCCATTCTCCTGTTTGTTTGTTTTTCATTTTCATGTACTTGGAATTTACATTCCCCCACCCTGCCCTGAGAACACTGTGTATTACAAGGTTTGCATGTGAATATCTCTTCTGAGATTTCACATTACCTCTGCTTACATCTCAGCACCAATCAAACAAGACTGCAAGGCATTCAGGCACTAAGCCTCCATAAAGCATCCCTTTCTAGATTTAAATCAACAGTGTTTACTCTCAAGAACGTTTGAAAACCAGCCATGTTTAGCAGGTGATGGGCACTCCCCACAAAGTTGCTTTGACACAGCACTAGTTTTCAGGTGCTCTCCTGTCTCAGGCAGGAACTCCTAACAAATTTCATGAATCCAGAGACTGGCAAATCCATGGCAATGGCCTTCTGAAGTGCTAATAAAATGCCAAGCCAATTCTGGAATCATACACTGGCATATGAATAATGGCTTATTTATCAAATGTTGTGATGCTTCTGTTGCCAGCTAAAAGGAGGTGGTACCCCCTGTGAGTAACACTGGCTCAGCTGAGCTGACTGGCCACTGCACAACAAGAAGTCCAGTGGTACTCAGCTGATCTGACTGAAAATGCTCTGAAATTCACTTAGCTAGCAACACTGAAAATCCACAGGATCCTAATTAGAATGATCAAATAGTCAACTTTAAAACATTGGTACAATCTGCTACTGAGCCCACAGGCTCTCAGAAATAATGAGCATTAAAGGAAAAAAAAACCTCTTCAGAAAGGAAGGTCTCACTGATACCTTAGATAGCAGGTCATGTCTTTTGCATTTCTTGATGAGATTCTGTAGCTGATCTTCTCCAACTGCTCCTGCCAGCACATGTTGGAGCACATCTCATGCCTATTCAAACAAACAAAAGAAGATGTCTCGTCTTTTACTTTCTCCTTTCTCCATACTGTGGGGAATTACTGCTCTTCTCCATTCTGCTTCTCATGTGAAGAGAGTAATTTTTAGTTTTTTATTGCAGTAAAAATAATACAAAGCTTCATGAATGAAGCTGGCAAAATACAGAATTGGGCTTTACTCTTCATGCACAAAGATAAAGTGGTAACATAATATTTAATCAGGGAGTGAAAGAAAGAGAAGTGAGTTCATTAACTTTTCCCTTGAGTGAAAACTCCTGTTTTCATTCTTCTTTTATTTTTATTCAAATAATTTCCAAGAGAACACCATCCATATGCAAATGCATATGTGTTCTCAGAATACAGCTTTCTTTTATATAGATGATCATGAACTCACTTCAATAAAGGGAAAAATGTCGGGATTTTTTCATAGAAATAATCGGCCAGGCAGCCAGCAGTAAAAGCTCTATTAACCTCCAATTATCTCTCCCACATTCCCAAGAGCTTGTATACTTCAGTGGACAGTGTTTTGCAGTGCTGGACATTACAGATCCAAACTGCTTTTACTCAGTCCTTCTGTGGGAAGAATCATATGCTACTTTTTTGGGGTTTGTAGGGAGATTTTTTCCCCCCTAGTTGCTAATGACAGCAGAAAAGGAGGAACAACTTTTTCATTGAGTTTTCTATGAAGCGAGATCCATGCTCTTTGGAGGCTCCATAATGCTCTGTGAAGATCCATGTCTCCACTTCTGGATGCTGACGGGAGTTTTGGATTTTTGCCAGGAGTGAGCTCAGAGGCAGAGCTGCCTGTGACACAGAAGGACAGGGGAAGGGCAAAGATGCTTTGATGTTGAATGATGGGCAAACATCATTCAAAAGATGACATTTGAATTGTGCCCTCATGCACCAGAGACCAGGGAATGGGAATGTGATTTGTCCTGTATCCGGGGCAATGGCAGGGAAAAGGCTCAGGGTGACAGCTTCCAGCCAAATTTTGAGGGAATGCTGAGCCTTGGCATGATTGCCCATATCTATCCCTTGACCTTTTTAATAAGAACCAGTTGCCAGATCCCTGAATGGGGTCAGGCACCAGCTCTGCCTCTCCTGAGGCATCCACATTAGGAGAGGAACGTTCTTGTTGAGGAGGCATCCCAGCTAAAAGAAGCCACGCAAGAAAGAAAAGGGAAATTCGGCCCTGGGAGTGCCTGCTCGGAGCCCCTGGTCTGGACTTGCCACTGAGCTCCACCCCAGCAGCTTCCCCATCCAGACTCTGGTGGCTGCACACTCCAGTCCTAAAGCACAGAGCACAACAGCACCGAAATAACTCCAGAGTTAATACGTCCTGAAGGCCTCCTACTTTCAGTGTGTTACATCTCTTCCAAATGATCCCTCTTATGGGTGTTGCCCCCGGATATGCCCATTAGGGAAGCAGTCTGGTTGTGCAAAAGTTTTTGAAGAGATGCAAACACGACCATTAAAATAACCTAGGCAATTCCCACACCCTCTCTGTGACATAAAAAATCTACTTGTCTCCCATCACCAGGACATGTGATTTCTTTATTTTTCCTCCTGTTATTTCTTTTTAGATAACCACATTATCAGAACCCACTAATTTCTGAGGAGCAAACAAAGACCAGGAGAGTTAGTCCCTTCCTTGAAGACGTTACTTCTGTCAGATTAATATGTGAAAAACAGCCAGGCACTTCTCAATGAATCTTTCTGGAATATTTCCTAAGCAGCTGCTGATTCTTTCTGGGTAATAACAGAAAAGAAATCTGAGAGGAGAAACTGCAGCTGCTGCCACAACAGAAAGAGCTTATTATGAGACATTGCACTCTTGTTTTTCCACTTCATTTGTTTGGGTTTTGTTGAGGTTTTTATTTTTGCCGAAGTGATAAATTGCTATGGAAAATCCACACCAGGAAATTTTTATATATGTGTATATATATATACTCCTACCAAGGCAGGTTCCCATACAACCACGGATGATGTCAACTATTTTGGTTAGTAATGATTTCATCCCCTGTGGTGTTTTGATTCCCTTGCTACAGGACTCAAATTCTGTACTGGAGGCACTGGGCTGGGATTTGAATGATTTGCCACCAGTGCCTGCCTCTTTCCAGTGCACTCTGGCTCAAGTTACTTCCATTTACAGTGCCACAGTGCACCACAATCCCAGATATCTTCTTATCTGCCTCCATGGCTATTGTGTTGCAATACTAAACCTTTACAAGAAAGGATCATATCTGCATCGTATTTTTTGGCCCTATTGCAATGCAATAACTGATAAGAGGGAACACCATCTGCAGAAAAATACAATTCCCAAAGCTGCACTTAAGGCAACCTTTCAGTCCTTAATTACCCAACACTGAATCAGAGAGGAAAGAAAGAACACCAGCTCCAGGCATCTGCTCCCTCAGTCCCTGAGGAGGAAACCTGAGCTGCCAGCCCGGAGTCCACCACCATGGAACATTCCTCCTGCTTGAAGAGCACGGGGGTCTTATGTTTGCCTCATACCCAGAGCTGGTAGGAAGCAAGAGATTATGAAATGTGATCTTGTCAGGGCAGACTCAGCCCAGCACTGCCAAGAAAGGACATTTAGAAATGCTCAGCATTTTGAAAAAAATTACCAAAGCTTTTTGAGTTCCACAAAATGCTACTTTACATTCACGTTACAAAACTGCGTGACACTGAGGCCAAGAATCAAAACGAGGGGGAATACCTCATATTGTAATATAATCAGAATTCAGGTGGCTGTGGGCACGCTACCTGCATGCTAACAGGAAATGAAGATATTTCTAGTCACCTGCAGGCTTTTCTGAAGCAGCTCTGATATTCTCCACCACCCTTCTTTACTGCCTAGCATCTAAATATAACAAAAAATAATTACCATTGAGCAAGTAAGTTATTTACCCTCTTAGATACTCCATTCCCTCCTCTAGAGGCTGCACACTCTTTTCTCCACCACAGTTCACTTGCTGTGCAAGTTCAGTTTGGCATTTGTCAAATCCTTTCCAAATCTGGAAACACTGATGTGTCACGGCAGTATTTCTTGTTTGGGGGTTACTGGGTGGATTAATTGCAGTGGCTTCTCAAAGGACAACTTAATCTGCATTAGCAACTCACCTGCTTCTCAGTGCAGCTACTGTGCATGTATTGGGAAGGATGGATGGGAAATTAGGACACTGAAATAATTTTTGCTTTGTGTTTCTTGATGTGTCTTAAGCTACTTGCCTAAATGGCTGGCAAGAATTTGCCACAGTGCTTAAATGTCTTATGAAAATGAGTCAACAGAGAACCTCAGGCTGGTTGGGAATTTTTTTAACTTTCTCAGGCAATCAACTAGACCATATCCTCCTAAGCAGCTGAGTCCCTGTATTATTTGTCCATTAAAAAAAAAATGTAATTTTAACCAGCAATGTGACTTTGCAAACAGTCCATTGTATGTCTTGGAATCAAAACTGCTCTGTGACACAGACATGTTTCATTATTGATTCAACAAGTTTCAATTCCATATGGCTTCAGTTACAGAAAAACTAACTGGAGCCTTTCCTTCCTTGCACAAAAGCATCGTCAGCTAAACTCCAATAACAGAAGCTTTATTTCATGCATGTGCAAGGGGTGGAAAGAGGCTAATTGAATCTGATCTGATAGTTTTTCCAGTTTTAAAAATTAGTATGGGTTGCCATTTCTTCTAGATGAAGGAGGAGAAAAAAAACCTAAAAGAGGCCAGATTCTGAGCTGGTGCCCCAGCTGATGACCCTGTCCCCTTTCACAAGTAGGAAAATAGTAGTTCTAGAAGGGTGACTCCCTACAAATGGGACAGGATGGTGTGGGTAAGTGGCGAGAGTTATGGACCAGCATGCAACTCCTCTGCAGATCAGAATTGAATGGGAACACCACAGCACAGGGGTTTTGTTAAATCCATGCTTCTGATTTGGCAGCCATGGGCTCCCAGTTCTGCTGGCTCTGACACCAGTGGCTTCTCAAGGAGGCAAAGCCATTCCTTAATAGAGTCCTGTATGGGACCACAGTGATTCAGATTTCCTCCTGCAGCTTGTGGTCCTCAGCCAATGCCCACTCAAGTCAACAGATATCTTTGTGTTGACTTCAAAGGATATTTACTTGACCTTTATTTTCAGCCTTTGATTGCAACTAAAGCCATATTGTGTACAAATGCATGGTGGACACAGTTCCTTGGATGATGTTTTTCTTCCATCACTGCTTGCTTGGTAGGAGTGATGATGATAATGTCAGTAAAAGTGGAATAATTTTGCCTGTGCTGTGAGCCTCCCAGTTGACTTCCAGGTGTTGGGGGATTTGAGGAATCAGGGCTTTGTCTCAGTTCCAGCTTTACAAAGATTCTCAAGGAGTTTAAACCTTCCCTGTCTCTGGTATGCCTTCACTTAATTGCACTGTCCCTTTCTTTTCTTTAGATTGTCCCATGTTGCTTGAGTCCTGTGAAGTAGGACATTACAAAAAGCTTGGTGCTAGAAGCCAGTTTTGCTGAGATTGACATGATTAGTCAGGGTGGCAGTGGTGGGAGAAGGAGGGAACTGGGATTCAGATCACTTTGAGAGCCAAACAAAATCTTTCTGTGGGCAGAAGTAAGGTCTGAAGAGCTCCCTGCCCACAAGTCCAGTGTCTGCAAGGTTTCACTCCAGCTCTTTTCCTGGTGACTCTTACTGCTTTTGACAAGTCACCAGGCAATTTCAGATCAAAATCAGAAGCTCAGCCCCAACTCCATCTGGCAGTGCCTTAACTGAGACTGGCAGTGGCTGATTTTCAAACCAGTGAAAAGGTATAAGAACCTCACCAACATATTGCTGGGAGGAACAGGGCTGTGCTTGAGGCTCTGGACAGCCAGGAAGCATCACAGCTGTACTACAATGCAGATCCAAGTGTAGACACACTCATGGACAAGTCCTGCTTTCATGTACACCTTCAGTACAGAGCAAACCCTGTGGCAGCTCCTATCTTCTAACCAAGTGCAAGTGACACTGTCCTGCTTTTCTCCATCAGCCTGCAGGATGGGGTGACAGCCAATCTATGCATACTGCCTCTTGCTGTCTCATGGCAGAGGTTGCAGGATGCTGTTCCCACCCTTGGGGCCTGAGCAGAGTGCCCATTCCCATGGAATGACTTCTGATGTGTTGTGTGCTGCACTGTGTTCATTGCAGGGACTAAATGTGTAGTTATCTCACAGGGTGCATACATTCAGAGCTGAGCTGAAATGGGCTGGATGTGTTTGCTGCATCTTGAACTGCCTGGGTGCAACAAAACATGATAGGCTGTTCCAGTAGTTCAAACTTGTATCTGTGTTTAATCAGCCCAGGTGTCCAACTGTCTGCTAAAAGAAATCCTTTTGGAAGCCGCTGAGATGGGTTTTTCTTTATGAAATCTCATTACTGTGATAGGTGGCAGTGTCTGTTATGCAGGTTGGCATTATCTTCAGTTTCTTCTAATGCTGCCTGACTTTAACTGGCTGGGCTGATATCTTCTGTGAGAGGTCTTGCCAAGGGCTGATGGATTCCTCAGCCTTTTGTACGACATGCTATTCAAATCTGCTAACTCTGCTCCTATTAATTTCCTCTTAGGTTCTTCTGTAATACCATTGTACTGCTGAAGTGCTTACAGCAACTCCTGCATTTATAATCACCAGCTCACCTGGTGAGAAAAAGCAGCTATTTCTGACAGCCCCTTTGAGCTGCCCAAGGTCTGCCCACCCAGGGACCAGCACAGTGGCACAATGCATGGAGGTTCAGAGCAGGACCCTCACTGATTTCTGTCACTGCACCCCTTTGATTTCAAGACGGATACTGGGCAATGAGAGCACACACAGAGGCAGTGATTACCTACAAATGCTTGATGATGTCCATGATATCCCAGAGGTACACAGCACCACAGGTAGGGAGAAAGTCCAATTCTCTGGGACAGAATGCTGGTGTCTTCTGAGTGAGACAGCGTCTTCTTTCAGCCTCTACATCAACTGTTACACACTTTCCATCTTCTCCAAAGGGAGGAGCAGAGGTCAGCTGGCAGCAGCCTCCTCTGTCCTCATGCTTTGCTGTTCAGCCCCTCCACAGCTGCAGTCTGTGCGCTAAGAGAGGCAGGGCTCCAGGGGCTAAAGGAGCAGGCAAGTTAGACACTCATGGGGCCCAGAAATTAGATTGCACAAGGCCACCATCATTCTGGCTCTCCTCCATCACCTTCCTGCTTGTGAAGGGCTTGCTTTCACAATCTTTAGCTTTTAACATATTTTTCCTTCAGGGAGTGGTGGTGGTTAGAAAGATGTCTAACAGAAACTGACCATCTTTTATAGAGATTTCTCAGTGGTAGCTCAGGAGATGGCAGGGCAAAGACCCAGAGACATGTAGCGGTCCCTTGGGAGGCCTGTCCCTCCTTGGGAAAGCAGGTGAGGAAATCTCAGCTCCTCTTCCTGTGAAACTCTAGTTGAGGTCAGGCTGCCAGGCTCCAGGTGCCTGGGAGAGCTGCTGCATGCCTTGGATGTGTGCTGTGGCTCTCCTCATGGTCCTGGCCACCCAAATGAGCTCCCACCCATGGATCTGACCTGCAGCTAGCATGTCCTCCTGCGTGGAAATCAGGTGTAGGGAGGTGGAGACCACTAATCCTTCTGACTGAGCAGGTGATACGCAGCCAGGATGGGCACCTAAATTTAGGTGCCAAAAAGATCATTAGCTGACATATGTAGCTTCTGGCACCAGAGATTACATGCCCAGGAGCACTACTATTTATCCATCCTGGCCTCAGCTGGTGCTGATTTTAGTATTTAAAACAATGTTTCAAGCCTAAATTCTCCTTGCAGCCATGAAATGCCGTAAATGGAGGCTGCTGGCTGACCTGCAATCCCTTCCTCCTCTTTCGTTTGTGCCATGGCTGGTCCTACTTTATCAAGCCTAACACCTTCCACTCGGAAATGCCAGTTGAGATTTTAGATTTATAAAAACTCATCGTAGCGGATCTTGCAGTCTATCGGAGCATGTGGTGCTCTGTGTGCTGTGAGCCCATCTTCACTGCTGCACTGAGCAAAATGGGTAATTCTCCTTCTGCAAGGCAGCTATTCAGATCCCAAACAGGGCTGGTTATTTTTTTCCTGACTTGCAGTTATTATTAAAAGCTCTGTCTTTTGCAGGCGTGTTGTTGTGCTGGATCAGAAATAGCGATGCAGGGGCACTGAAGGTTGAGCCCTGTGTTTTGCTAACACTCTGGAAGACGATGCCATCTGTGACATGATTCAGATCAGTGGTTTAGTGAAATTCTGTTGGCAGGGAGTTATTTACCAGATTAATGTTTCAGAAGTTCTCGGGCTTCCAAAATGATGCTTTGCCTTCCATCTCCTTCTGCAATTTTCTTTCACGTCTCCAAAGGTAAGCCCTGTCAGAGTGCCTCATTAGCATGTCTGGACAAGGCAAGAAATACAATCTTTGCTGGCACAAACCCATGAGGCACAGCTTGAAAGGGTGCACAGAGGTCCTGATGCTTTGAGCAGGTCATGCAGATGCCACCAAAGCCTGTAACGTGGGCACACAGCGAGAGTCCCCCCCAGACACCTCTTCCCCACAGCATCCCAACACAGGAGGCATCCCCAGAGCACATGCAGAACACAGTGTGGAAAAGAAATTTGGTTCTTTCAAGAGAAACGAATTTTGGCCATCTGAAAACCTCCATGGCAAATCATCATGTGCCTCTGGAATGTGCCTCATTTGAAGAACAAATTGAAAATGCCTTTGATTTTAAAACCCTGTCAGGACTACAGCTCTCCAGACACACCAGACTTCTCTGGTTTACAGCAGTCAAAGTATTCTCAATACTCACTTGCAGAGTTGGACTTTGCAGAGGTCCCCTCAGGCCAGGAAGCCCCATGGCTTTGGGTGCTGCTCGAACACCTCCAAAGCCATCAAAGAGCTCACAGCCCTGTGAAACGCCTCACAAACATCCACCAGACAACCTGGATGTGGGAAATAAAATTCTGCACTATCTCTGTGGGCACCTCTCCCCAGCTATTTTCTGAAATACATTTTTCCATAAAGCACCAGCTGTGTCAGACACTTCAGAGTGGCTGCAGCATCCTAAGGATGTTTTGAATTATACCAGACCTTCTCTGGGTAAAATGATCTCCACACAGCATTATTTGTAATTGAAAATGAGAGGTTAGAGTAAATGAATTCTCATCACCATCACAGATCTTCATAAGCTGCCCACTGCCACAGTAATTAGGCACAAAAATTAGGCAATAACAGCAGTTGTTTCTGAAGTATTTTGAACATCATAAAAATAGTTTTAATGGTTAAAACCCAAAGTGCTGGGAGCCATCACTGTGACAGCTCTGTAGATGAGAGCTGCATCCCAGCAGCGAGATGCAGTAAATTTACTCACAGTAAATCTGGATCACTGGAAAAATAGTTAGATAAAACAGAACATTTTCATACCTGTTAGTTTCTGGTTTGCTGTTGATTGGACAGTGTGTTTGATCATTTTGTGCAGCAGAGTGACAAATAACTTACAAAATTATTTCCCTGAAATTGTTTGGAAATATAGCTCTTCTTGCCATATATTTCATCTGGAAGGCAATTTTTTCCTGCCCTTCTGCACATCAGCCTGGAGTTTCTGTTAGAGAGAAGTGATAATACAGAGAGACATCAACATCATTCATTGAATGAAAATACTGAAACAGCAAAGAGTTTCTAAAAATAAAAATATAGTGAATATGTCTTTAGGTCTCTAAGGCATTATATGGTGACTAATCAGAACAGTTTTCCTATGAAAAAGGGACAGAAGCAATAGAGACGGCATCAGATTTAATAGTACAAAATGCAAGGTCGTGCCCCGAGGGAGTAATAATGAGAATTTCTGCTACCAGCTGGGAGCTCATCAGTTGGAAGTGACAGAGGAGGAGAAAGACCTGAGCGCACGAGCTGATCAAATGTCTGTAAGCTGGCAGTAGCATGCAGATGTGAGAAAGACAAATGCGAGCCTAAGACATGTCAGATGAGGGATTTCTAATAGAAATAGCAAGATTTTAATGCCATCACAGAAGTACAGAATATTGTATGTCCACATAAAACATTAATTGATTTAAAATTGCTCTTTTTGTGTGCCTTTTTCTCTTGTCATGACCTGGGAGGAGAGAGCTTTCTTCCACAAGAAGAGTCTAAATGAGCTTGGTTTCTTGAGTCTAGCAAAATGCAGGCTGGAAAAAGATATATTTGTTGCTTACAAATACCCTGGAGGGAAGTACCAGGAAGAGAGAAGAGCTATTTGAGTGAAAGGGCAGTGCTGGCAGGAGAACAAGTGCCTATAAATTTGCCAGGAATACATTTCAGCTGGAAATTAGAAGAAGGACTTGACTGTCCAAGAAGTGCATCTCTGGGACTGACTTCCAGGAGATTTTATGGGGACAAAAAACCCGACTTGTTTTAATGCAGAAGTGAGACAGCTCTTTACCACAGCTACCCCAAGCAGAAGGGGATTGGACAATATGGGTCAAAAGGTCCCTTTTGGTCCCTATTTTCCATTGTCCTCATGTGCCTATCTTGTTCAACAACCTAAGGTTTCACACTGATGATATTCAGTTACCTTTGAGTAGCTGAATAACAAAAAAAAAAAAAAAAAATTGGTTTTCCTTATTTTGCTGACTAGAAGATCTCACAGCCAAGGCCTGGTGCTGTCTCCCTGGGTACTTTCTGGCCCATTTTGTTGAAGAAATTGGTGAGGACAATCCCAAGCCTGTTTCTGGATGAATACATGCCACATGAGTCAGACCATCCAGCATGTCTGTGGAGAAATGGGCCAAAGGCTCCAAGCTGTCCTATGCACTGAGATCAGCTCTGCTCCTGCCCAGGGTGGAGAGAGATCACCCATTATCCAAATGTTTTAATGCAGAAGTGAGGCACTGCACATCAAGACTTCACTCCTGCAATGCAAGGTGCTCTATGAACACATCATAAATTACATTTTTGGTGTCTTTTTGGGACTCTTCTCTGTGTTGAAGAGCTAGAGATGAAGCTTGGGCTTGGAGAAGGGTGGAAAACCATGATGTGGAAGTGTCAGGTTGGTGATGAGCAGCAGCTTGGGGCAGCTTGCTTGCTACCTGCCCAGCACTTCATGCAGTACTCACTCTTGTAAGGTCATCTGAAATATGAAGAAGCCCAGCCCAGAAGAAAAAATTAAAGTGAGTAGGTATGGCAGAGGATCATCTGGGTGAGGTTAGGCATGTGACATTTAAGTCCTCACTTAAAGCAGCTTAAATGGAACCATGGGTGGAATTGGCAGTGGGAACCTCAGTCTCAGCCTGGAGGAGGTTTGCTAGGTGGTTCTTACAATCAGTATGCTCTGAGCACCCCTGAGGGACAAGGAAGTTTGTCCTTCCTCTGCTTGTAACAGGAGACTTTGGACAGATGATCTCAGAAAGTGTCTGAATGCAAAGCATTAGATAAAGACACCTTTTATGTACATTTCTTTGCTTTCAGACTTAATGAAACACCACTGACCTTTGTTTTCTTTACCTCTTCTCCCTGGCATATAATGTCTCTCAGCTTGCAGTACCATTAGGGTGGTTGTTCTCTTCATGTAGCACTGTAACTTTATGCAGCAATTTGTCACTGTAGATAAAACATCTTTGTTGTCTCAGGCTGCATGCAAGTTAAAACAGGCATGGCATGCAAATTCAACCAAAATTCAAGAGTTCAAGTTCAGAGGAGTCTGGAGGAGAGGAAAGAAGGGGGAGTGCTTTAGGAGGATAGTTTTGCAGAGGTCTGCCAAGGCAGAGCGATGGTGCACTCACAGATGAGAGGAGGGAGGGCTGTCCAGGAACAGGAAACACAGCACAGAAGGGCAAGAGTGGGAGCAAGGGATGTAAG